ACCAGATTCTCAGATTGTCGGGTATTCACTGGGCTCAGCTAACTAATATTTTCTCAGCGACAGAGTCAGCGCAACGCAGTAATCTCTTCAAAGCATGCCCATTTTTCCAATTCACTGAACTAGTTCTTTTCTTATTCATAACATATTCATATACATTCATATATATATATATTCATATATTTATATTCATATATATATATATTCATATATATATATATACATATGATTGTAACAGATATATAAATATATATATAGATTGATTTTTGCTACTATGTGGACCAAAGAATGGTTGGCCAAAGCCTGCAGTTGTCCCAGATGAGGATCTCTGAGCGGGCCTCCGAGGAGCCTTTGTGGACCCGACCATCCATGGTATCTTTGTGGTTCATTGCTTTGGGGGTTTCTAAAAATGGGGGATCTCCAGAACCAAAGGTTTCAATACTGAAATGATCTAAAACGGTTAAGTTTTGGATGACTTGGGGGTAAAGCTATTACTAGCATATGACTGGGGGAATAACCATCCAGCTATACCTGCTATCTTAGGCAAGGGTCCCAAGGTTTTGACTCATAGCCATATGTACTCAGCACCCATTGTTCCAGAAAGTTCCTGTGAATTGGAGAATCTATTCCAATGTGATAGATGTTCCTCTTACCCGACACCGAATCTACCCGAATATATTCCAATACAATTCTGTGGTATTTATCATGAATCCAATAATAGGAGACCATCCCCCAGTATCAACCACTTGTTCCACTAGGTGGTCATTTTACCTCACTTATAGCCGCTATAGCCAACAATAGAATATATAAAATGTAATAAACAACTTTTGGGGAGTGGTTTATTGTTGGGTGTCCCTTGCCATGGTATGGAAGACTTACCCAACTAGCCACTTGTTATTTGGGGTGCACCAAGATTTCCTCCCAAAACTATGGAAAGTTAAGCTGGACGCTGTGCAAAAATTCAAAAATGAACAACACACATATGTATATACAGTAAATATAGATAGATATAGATAGATAGATAGATAGATAGATACATGTTGATAGATACATGTTGATCTCTTTCTTTGTTGTCTGATGTTTGGTGTTTGAATGGCTTTCCAAGACACCAGCTATTTTTGGAATGACAAACCGGGGCAGAGCGTTTTGATCCATTCCCAAATGGCTAGATGTTCTTTTTATGGCGAACAGTTGCCTTGAAGTCTGGAGGAACATGGATGGTATGGGAGTAGGACATCGAATAGACTTGGTAGAATCGTTGCTTGGTTTTGCGCTCTACGGTTGCGGCGGCTGAGAGAGCCCAGGGCAGTTCCTCGTCAAGACGAGACTACTGGAGTCACTTGAGGACTCAGTCGTGAAACATATTATTTAAGATGATTATCTGTCAACCACAACTTGGTGGTTTCATGCGAATTTGAGAGACATGGGCTACGTGAATTTGATGAGAAATGGGGTACCAGTACTCCCAAAGTTGAAATGTTGATGTTGCGAATGATGTGAGCCACTAGGGTTTGGGGGACCCTGGAACCTTATTTTGGGAACATGTTTTTTCTGGTTCATGCCCCATTGGGGATGTTCTTTATACGTGTACATACATATATAAATATACATAGACACGTATGTGCATATATACATTATGTATATGTATGTGTATATATATATCTATCTTTATGTATATATATATATACATACTCATACACACACGTATATATATTTATATATATATATATTGACATACGGGCAACGCCTGGGCTTTGCCCAGGCGTTGCAGCGTAGAGGGTCCCCATTCCCAATCAAATGTTGTTGCAACTCTGCATTCCATTGGGAAGATCAACAAAGGTATTAGGGAAATTAAAATCCCACCCCCGTTAAACTTTACATTCAATTGAGAAGATCAACAAAGGTATTAGGGAATATTAAAGTCCCACCCCTGTTAAACTTTACATTCACTGAAGATCTTCAATAAGGGTTTAATTCTCCAACCCCCTTAAACTTCTACATTCTTTGAATATCTTCAATAAGGGTTTAATTCTCCCACCCCCGTTAAACTTCTACATTCATTGAAGATCTTCAAAAATGGTTTAATTCTCCCACCCCCGTTAAACTTCTACATTCATTGAAGATCTTCTATAAGGGTTTACTTCTTCCACCCCCGTTAAACTTCTACATTCATTGAAGATCTTCGATAAGGGTTTGATTCTCCAACCCCCTTAAACTTCTACATTCTTTGAATATCTTCAATAAGGGTTTAATTCTCCCACCCCCGTTAAACTTCTACATTCATTGAAGATCTTCTATAAGGGTTTATTCTTCCACCCCCGTTAAACTTCTACATTCATTGAAGATCTTCGATAAGGGTTTAATTCTCCACCCCCGTTAAACTTCTACATTCAGTTTGAAGATCTTCAATAAGGGTTTAATTCTCCCACCCCCGTTAAACTTCTACATTCATTTTGAAGATCTTCAAAAAGGGTCTAATTCTCCCACCCCCGTTAAACTTCTACATTCAGTTTGAAGATCTTCCAAAAGGGTTTGATGATGATGATGATGGTGATGATGATGATGATGATGATGCGTTGCCTGTCGTGTTTGCGGTTCCGGGCAAAACCCAGGCATTTGCCGTTTCATCCCCATGGGACGGCGAAAAAGCAAGTGAACTGGTTATCGATCTGGTGAGATTTATTCCCAACCGACCCCATTTTGGAATCACGGTTAATAAGGGGAATAATCCCCAAAATGGCCTTAGTTCAGGTTAGTGATTTACGATAATTTAATAATTTGCCCAGACCTTCTTATTTGTCAGAAGGGTAGCCCCTCTATTGGAACTGCCTGAAGAGAACCCCAGTAGATCTGGGCCCAGTTTGGGCCGGGCTTGGACGATTAATTATTGTCATACTCCGCCAGGGTTGGAAGAAATGGCATTTTCTGCAGGTTCCATGTTGGATATGTTGGATGTGTATATGCCACACACCTTCAAGGCTGAACATTTACTTCTCCAACTTCTGAAATTCACATACGAATGGTTAGTCCGCAATCGCCCAATCAACTTTGATCCTTGCAGTCAGAAATCCAATGTTTTTATTTTGACTGGGGGTAACGTGATTTTTGAAGGGAACCCATTGTTTTGACACCCAACGATGGTTTCTTGTCACATTTTGCAACCAATTCTGGGAAGGCTAGAAGCATCAACATGGCCTGGGAATTGTTCTACAGCGTGAATGTTTGAGGCGCAACCTGTAGGTCACAACTAGCAGAACCTTAGGGGGAAGTACATTCCAAAACGGGTATGATTCAAACGATTGACTGGAAAAGAGAATTTGACGCACCAAGTCCCAAGCTCAGGGGGTTCATCTTTATCTCCAAAGTTTTCCAGCGCAGATGGGTCCTTGCTAAAGGCAGGCTCAGAAAAACCGTGAGCATTGCACTGTGATGGAAAGAGAGGCCCATGCTGCTTTTGGGGATGAGGGAAGGATGGCATTTGATATTAGATTGAAAGCATCCCATGTGAAAACATGTCCAGTTTTCACCCATGTGTTGAATAAATCCTTATAGCATCTCCGGAAAAGATAGAACAGTTGGAGGCTCAGAAATTGTGAGGATTTTTTAAATTAGATTCTATACAATCCTGGAAATACGTTTTCTATGTCTTGGGGATTATGCATAAATGTTGGTTTCAGGTGGAAGCCGGTGGTTTTCTATCTCGTTTGATCCGGAAGTTTGGTCTCAGTACTTATGCATGACAACGGAGATCCATACCAGATTAGGTGTGGGCGCACAAAACCATGAAACCAGCCGGTGATGCTTAGGAATGGGAACTCTTCCAAGAGTCATTTCTTTCAGGGTTGTGGATCAAATATGATTTGCTGCAGTGCTGGAGTTCAGCGTGAACACGCGTTGCCGGCCGTGGGGTGCCGATTGTGTAGATACCTGGGCCACGTGGGGTGCAGTGGTTTCCTAAAAGGGGCCATGCTTTGAAATCAGGAGCTGCGGTGGGGTGGACGGATAGTTGCTATGCATAGTACATATGGGGTTGTTTGGAAATGGGGGGTACCACAAAATGCTTAATTATTTTAATAGGGAAGAATATTATAAACCATGGGATTTTGCGGTGTCCAATGTTCAGACGAACCCATATGATTACATGATTCCGTATACAAATGTCTATAAGAGATAAGTGTGTAGAGCTCATTGGTTGACCACACGATGTCCCATTGTACATGGGTTGGTGTATTAATAAAAGAATGGACAAACAACCAGGGCCTGAATTATTGACAGTACACTCAGAGTGACCCCGGGGCCCTACCTGTTGGATGGGTGCCCCGATGTATCCACCTAAACCGTATTTTGGACTTTTCCCGGGGTTATATATCCAGACCATGACTGGTAGGTGGTTGTTTCAAACATTTTTTATTTTCCATAAAAAATGGGATAATCCTTCCCATTGACTAATATTTTTCAGAGGGGTTGAAACCACCAACCAGATGAGTAAAAGTAAATGGGAGACAACCCTCTGGAGGGCTAAAGATATGTTGGGCCTCCTACCAGACATGGTACGACATTTTGCTCCCCGCAAGAATGAGTTTGTACTACGACATGTACTACGACATGTCCTTCCAAGAGGTAGCAAATTTGGAATTCCACAGTGTCCAACGCCCCTGATGATTAGAGTAGATATACTAGCCAATAAATATTTATCAAATTGGGGACTATCATAATTCATCACAATAGGGGATGATATCCCACAATATATCTGGTCGGTGGTTTGGAACATGAATTTTATTTTTCCATATATTGGGAATGTCATCCTCCCAACTGACTTTCATATTTTTCAGAGGGGTAGGTATACCACCAACCAGTTGTTTTAGCTATTGAAAATTGCCATTTATAGTTGATTTACCCATTAAAAATGGTGATTTACCCATTAAACATGGTGATTTTACCCATTAAAACCAACCAGTATAACGGGGCCAAAAAAGAGGCTTCACCTCCCGAGAGCCTGCAGGATGCCGGCACAGCTTCTTGCTGGCGTTTAGTGGGAGAAATCGCAAAAGAATGGGGGACCTGAACCATAAAAGTTCTGGGAATCAAAAGCCTGCCCACCAACATTTTTGTAAATGTGGATTTATCATGGTTTATGATAGATATGTATCATGATTTACCACATTTAATGTGATTTATCATAAACTTAATCTTTGTGTACCTTGTTTTCTTGGATATTTTCTACCTTGACAGCGCAAGCACCACGAGATGACCCAAAGGACTCGGTTTGTTTTTGTCCGGTATGCTGATGGGAATCAGTAACATGCACAAGGTATGTCATATAATGTGATATATGTACATACAAACATTATACGCTGTAGAATATATCATCTATACAATATATCATTTGTGTAGAACGTACATATTTAATATATTACATTATATTACATTATATTATATTATATTATATTATTATTTTACAGTATATTATATTATGTTATATTATATCATATGATAGTATAGTATATTATATATATATGGGTCCATCAAGCTTCTGGGACTACTCATAGTGTTTGTTTGACTGTATGCGTGTTGGATCATGTTGAAGAACTTTGAACATAGGCAACATAGCCAGCCTTCTCAGGTAACCCCCTAGTCTCCTGGTGTTGTTAGTTACGTCTCCATGTCTATTGGTCAGTTTCCCTTAAAAAGGTCGGTCTCAATTCTAAATCATATGTGTTGTTCCCAAATCTCCTGTGTATTGCGGGTAAAACACAAGTTGCATCCATCGTTGTTGATGAATCTCCCGGCTATTGTCAGTTTCATTACATCCCAGCATTGTTAGTTAATTTTTTTTGGTTGGTGAATATCCAACAATTTGTCTACCCTCAAGCAGACGTCATGTCCAACAAGCTTGTGGACAATATGATGGGTCAACCATGGTTGACAATGATCATATGAACTAATTGTTATTAATCTGATCCATCATGGTTAACGATTCAACGGCCAATGCTACTATTGTCCCAAACTTGATTTTTGGAAAAACTGCAGGAAACCACTAGATTTCCGGGCAAACAAAATTGCAGATTCACCCAAAAAAAACATTCCATTGATCATCATTGATCTTGGTAAAAACGCAACACCATGCCTTGTTGGTTCCATTCCTTGTTTCTTATGGCGGTATCCCAAGGCCCTTCAGTGCCCGCAAATCTTTGGCAGTCAAGCCCTTGTGAGGGGCCACGGTGTCAGGGGGCGAATGTTTGTTTCCAGCGGTGACTCAAGTGTCAGATGCTCATATGAGTCTTATTTCCAGTAGAGAATTCAGAATGATTAGTATAATGCAAAGTAGACTCCAGTAGCAGTGCATCAAAATGTAAGTCTTACAGAACCAGAGGAATTGGTATTAGAATCCTTTGATTTTTGGATAACCTTTCCATGATTTAACAATATTTAACATAGCTATGAACAAAACACCATTTTTATCAGGTCAATCATCGAACAGTGCTGCAGTGCTGCTCTTTGCTTTATGAGTTGGGTAAAAGATGGAGATATCATGATCTAAATCTACAGTTAGATCGCTTTATTTGAATCTCAATCAATCTAAACCCTTTTTAAGGCATATGTTGGCCTTATTTTGCAGGAGACTCGGATCTGATATATATGTATATATATATATTATATTGTATACATGATTATACATATCTCTGCTTATATCTCCATGTCTCTTCATATTATCCAGATTTATAGATTATACATCGATACATATTATATTATATATACATAATTATTCATTGCTTGTGTTTCCAATATGTCTCGATTCTCCCATTGACACCTCGACTCACCTCGACATATCGCGCCATTGCCTTGGATGCCTTGGATTTCTGTCGCTAAGTCCAAGACGCTGAGTCCCTTTCTTTGAATTTCTACGTAGCAAACTGGAAAAACACGTCTTTTTTTTTTAACAAATAGGGAAATCATGATATTTTTTCTATACATTGGCCATTTCGCTAGCTATGTTAAATATCCAGAATGTTTTTTGTTCAAGGAGCCCCAAGAAAAAGTGATGGATCAAAGTTTAAGACCAAGAGAAAAGACCACATCAATGTTGGTCATGTTTGTATAATTACATATTCTTATTCATTAGTACGGTACCATGTATTTTAATCAATTTCACCATTTATTTAAAGTATTTTTTCTGGCTGAATTGCAATCATTCACCTGAAAATACGAGTAGCTCAAAGGATGCGATTTGGGGTTGATTGCCCGAATCCAATTCCCATTCCTAACCATCATTCCGGTGACATCACGACGTGAGGTCATTATGACCCAGATCTATGCTTCAAAGTCGATTTTTGGACATCCCAATTTTGACTCATACTGATACCGATCAAATCCAAGCTGCCCAAATCATGAGCCAGCCAGGCAAATTCGTCAGCATGTTCAAAAGTCTTTGGTGACTTGGAGCCGAAGAAAACCAGACAGTTAGTTGACTTAGCTGTATATGTGTCCTTATGATGTCAATTGTTGGAAACAGATTGATTTAAATGTTGGACCTAATTGAACTGTTGGAAACAGAGTGATGCTTGTTAGCTGCATGTGTCCTTATTGTTCTCGGTAAATGATCCTAAATCGAGCAATTGTCTCTTACAAGAGCATGAAATGCACAATCAATCCTTGTGGAAACTTTTAAAACTTGTCTCACTCTGAGTTAATAGCTTGCACACACTTACAACCATGTATTTATATACGAATATAATTTGTGTATATATGATTGTGTTATATATATATAATTATGTTATATATATAATTATGTTATATATATATAATTATGTTATATATATAATTATGTTATATATATATATATAATTATGTTATATATATATATACGTATGTATATAATCATATATAGTAGTATATATATATATGCATGTAGATAGGTGGACGGATGGATGCAGCTAAACTGCAAGATCCAGATGCAGCCAAAAAAACAAGAAACCCTCGGGTTGGATCTTAGGTGCAGGAATCTGTGAAGTTTGAACGACGCACCAGGCTTGGCCGACTGGTGTTGTGTGCGTCAACAGGAAACCGTTGGGATTGTCCATATAGGGGCGGGTTGGACCCACCCTCTGGTTGCACGATGGTTATATGTGTGTATATATATATATACGTACATGTGTATATATATATATATACGCATATGTATTCTTATGTAAGCAGTGCTCAAAACCCCTTCTGGTTGAAGAATAGACCATGGTTCCTGGTTTGCCGACCAGAGCTGATTGGTACTATGGTGCCCCATCGATTTCTATAGCAACCACAACAAGCGCCAAAGAAAATGCAGGACATATAGTAAGCAAGTATCTCAGCAAGTATACAGAATTGACTAAAGTCTATCTTTTAAACGATTGTTTTCTTTGGGGCCCAGCCGCGGGCCGCATCGGACTCATGGCCAGGGAGACTGAAGTCCGGGACTCCTGGAGCTGGGGCCATTTCGGGGTGGTTATTAATCTTATTAGCGGGATGGGATTGCCATGTATATGTATATATATGTGGCAGGGACCTTTGGGGTCTATTTCGTTCCTCCCCACACAAACGTAATCAAACGTAATTCTATTTGCATATATACTATACACATAAGTAAATATGTCTACATGTGTGTACAAGTTCAACAGAAAGTCGCAATTTTTCCCTTCCCCCTCAACCTGCGCAGCGTCCGTTTTCTGCTCCAAGAGATGCTGTCACCAGCACGCGCGAACGCACGCCAATTTGAACTCTGGGCAGAAGAGTCCTCCAGTGTCAATTGTGTTGTTTTCCATCCCTGCAAGCTACAAAGTTTGGGAATGCGCATGCAAGTTTGGAACTCTTGTGCGCTCATGCATGGGAATGTTTTGGCTGTCAGGAGTTTGTAGTTGTTCAACTGGTTGCATGCTTAGTAATAAGCATAGTTTTATAGAAAAAACACCTTAAAGGAACCTCATGGGCATGTAACACAAGCAACAAAGCAATGCAAACATGTTCCACCACTTCCACCTGTAGTGATGAAGAGGGAGGGTGATGGCGGCCAACCCCCTTCATTTTGTCATACTCATCACTTCATTGTTTTTGGCCCCGCTGTCGTCCCCTCTCAGGATCCTTCGAATGAAGAAGAGTTGCAAAAGCAGACCTTGGACCTCTTGGTGAACTTTGCATACAGGCTGCAGATGGATGGCCTGATGCCTGACCTGCCACAACAGCCACCAGGTGAGCCCAGTAGTGGATCTGGTTTTCTGCGAGAAGTGGAAGGTTCCAAAGCCAAACACCCAGGTGCACCACTACTTGAGGCTTCTATGGCAATGGCACCTGGCCCAAGTCCAGGTATCTGCGCGTCTTCACCAGCCAGTGCAACTACGGTTTTGCCAGTTCAACCTGATGTTGGTTTGTTGGCACCTGCCACTCCTGAAGTATCCCTCTGAGGCTTCAGCAGCATGGCATGCATCCCCAAAGAACTACCTGGTCCAGTTCCAGAAGCAATGGGGGAGGTTGACCTGTACTCCTGACCAGGTGAAGAAGCTTCTTTATTGCACCAAACAAAAAGGCTCTCAAGCTTCGACTGGGTCTTCGTCTACTCAAGATGTATCTGATAGGAAAGTCATACATTTTCTCAAGCATCATATGTTTCTATGGTTTTGCTTTCTGTGTGGGATTCAAGTTTCTTGATCTATGCATTTAGTATTGTTCATTCTCAAGTACCAGAGTTCGTGCCTCCTCGAGGAACTTCTAGTGGAGGTTGGTTCAGGAAAGTTTCTGGGCTAGTAGTTGCTTGGAAGCTTGGAGAAGTGCACAGGATGAGATGCCTACTATAACGATGGGAAGAAGTTTCACGGGTGAAGGCGTATGTGGCAGCTTTGGTGGGCTACGTCAAAAAGCGTGGACGGCAAAAGAACTTGGAGGGTGAGTATGGCTTGAACACTTGTACTCGCTTAAGATCTTACTGACTCCAGCAAAGCCTGGGTGGTGAAAAAAAACCTTATATCAAACGATCAAACAGTAAGAATTTCAATTCTGTTTCTAAATTGAGAATCAAGCAGTCGCAATTTTCAATTCAGAAATCGAAATTGAAAATCTACCAGTCACCATTTCAATTCAGAATTTAAATTGAAAATCAAACAGTCGCCATTTAAATTCAGAAATCTAATGGAAAATCAAACATTCACCATTTCAATTGAGAAATCTAAATTGAAAATCAAACACTCACCATTTCAATTCAGACAGTCTCCATTTCAATTCAGAAATCTAAATTGGAAAACAAACAGTTGGCATTTCAATTCAGAACCTTAACTTGAACCTACAATAGTATATTTTATTTTTCAGATTTTGATATTAATTTGGTTTACTATTTGGCACAACTAACATAATATAATGTAGTTTTTACATAAGCAGCCTTTAGGGCTTTCATTTTTAAGCCAAAAAGCACATTGATGCTTTCATTTTTTGAAGCTGTCACAAGTATAGCACATTGATGCTTCAGGTTTTGGTGTTCCATTAGTGCATCAGACATGTGTCCTTTGCATTTTTCTTGTCAAGCTGTAAGCTGTCAGGATGTCCAGTAATAGGGGTCAGGCACGGGGTTCAGCCACTGATCCAATGGTATCTCGACAGTTTCGAACCTGGACCTCATCCAATGGATGGAAGAGCCTCTGTTATGTGGAGATTCATCAATCAGGTTTTGATTCTTGATTACCAGGCTGAAATTCATCATGTTTTTAAAGCATACGGGAACTCAGGTAGTATGAGGATAGAAGTAAACAAATTGCTCGCTTGCTCAGGCAGGATGCTCTTGAGCACTTCAAGCAGAATGAAGGCCCACATCTTTTGCCTGCCAGCCTGGAGAACTTGATCAAAATCAGTTACATGTTGGCTGGGGTCCCTGTTCCTTCTGGCGATGCTATCTGCGCCTGATAGCTGCAGCTGTATGCCCATAGTGCATGGCAAGCCTGGATGAAAACATACTTGGGTGGAATCAAAATACTGTGGGAGGAGAAAAAATATTTTAAAAAAACATGTGGTGTACTTGTTTTTTTCTGGCCCAGTGGCCTTTCCTGCTATTTTGAAACTATTGTGGTTTATGCCCAAGGGGCTTTCATGTAAAGGTCCAGGGTTGGGTATGAGAGCCCACTGAGATTTATATGCTTCTAACCTTAAAGGGTCCCAGAACCCATTTCCACCTACTCTTGCTAAAGGTTTTGCTGATAGGGCTTTCATTTTATTGTGTAAACTAAATTGTTTCTGCCCAAAGGGGCTTTCATGTAAAGGCTTAAACTCCTTTATCCCATGCCCAAAGGCGCTGTCATAATTCTAACTTTGAAGGTTAGCAGAATCAATTCTCTTCTGCTTCTGCTGCAGTGGGCCCATAGGAATTATGAGCTCACCTTAGCCTAGATCCTTTGATCACCATGGCTACTTGGGACGTTGAGGACTTAGTCAAGGAGATTAGTGATATGGAAGCGATTTACCAAAGGAACGCTGGTTCACAGCTGGTGCCACGAATGCAGGAAGCTTTGCAGTCCAAAGTGAGCGGTGTCCAATGCTCACTGCTTCTAACTTCTTGAAGCGTCCTGATGCTGTTCAAAATGGCATCTTGACTGCTGACACGAAGGCAGAGTTGCAAGCATTTCTCGAATCAAGGGCAGCCTCTTCAATCCAAGGGGCCACCAGGTTGCAGGCTACACCTCAAAGCATGACCACGCCTTGGAACTACTTGTCCCAAAGCGAATGGCAGCAGATGCAGAATGGCATCAACACAGTTGATGCTACCCACATGCTGATCAAAAGAATCAAAGTGTGTGGGTTGAAAAGCCTCAAAGAAGACACCAAGAAGTACTTGACATCCTTTTTGGTCAGCCTTCAGGTGAAATCACCAATGTCTTGCCTCCAGTTTTTGAAATGTACAAATTTTGTGCTGGATACGTTCGAGGCTGTGGTGGCTCAACCTCTGCATGCTGGTTTGGCAAGGTACCCACCTAGCCCCCACGACATTGGGGAGGCACTGGGTTTGTAAAATCTTTGGTGATGGCTGCTTTCAAGCTGATAATTTTGAAGTCAAAATTTAGCCATGACATAATCCCTGAACACACACACACGCACATGGACCCGTATACATATTTCCATTTGAACATGAACACTTGCAGGCTTTCTGCTTGCACGCTACCAGTCATATGATAAACCTTGGAAGCATTGCCAAGAAAGTCACGGCGAGCGGAACTGCCAAGGAACTCAGGGCTGTGGCCACTCCACAGGCAACCTCTCAGCAGTTGCCAGCAGAGCCTTCGACAGGGAAAGATCCTACAAATGGAGAAACAGGCCAGAGCTTTGGATGCCTTGAGCCAGAAAATCTTGAACAATGATAGCTTGGAGGAGCCTGCTTCCAGCAACTCCTTGCTCTCAGATGGGGCCGGCCCAAGGGACTCCACCTCTTTGACTCCCAAAGCTTTGCCGGCAGTTCCAGCTGTTTTGCCTCTACCTGCGCCTTCTGACTGTGCTGCACCTGCTGGAGGACATGATGGCACCCAGGCAAAAGCCTTGAGGACTATGAAGCTGAGGCCAAACACATGCTCACCAAGAGGAAGGGCAATGATTTGGATACTGCCATGAAGAGGCCAGCTACTAAGAAAAGCCTAGCCAAAGCAGAGCCCAAGCAAAAGGCCATTGTGAAGAAGAATGCTGAGGAAGCAAAGCATGTCACACCAGCTTTCCCCAAAGGAATCTATGGATGTGTCAGATGCCGTGGCAGTGTGAGTGGCTGTGACAAGTGCCAGTCTCCCTACTTTGGGGGGACTCAGTCTCAGTTCAAGACAGGAATACAACAAGTGGTACAAGAAAAGCAGCAGGGGAACAAAAGGAAGTGTAAACATTTCCTTGGTCTGACAAAAGATCGTGGGCTGCCTTGTGGTAAATAACCATGCAAACACCGCAATGGTAAATCATACAGGCAGTGGGGGAAAACAGAAACACTTAGGCTTTCTCTGGACATACTTATCGAGACATATTTTCCAGCATGAAAGCAAGTGGCCACTAACTTGCAGTGCTGCCCTTGGTTCTGCTTGTTGTTTTTCAGTTTTGGCTTCAAGAGCTATCATTTGAAATCCGTTTGCCTGCAAGGGCTTTTTTGTTTGAATCAGTAGTACAGCATTGTGGGCACAGCTGTCTGCAAGGCTACTGCATGAAGCAAGGCCTGGCCCAAGGCAATGTGTGCCAAATCTGCAAATGACATGTTTGGAGGCCATGTTAGCAGCAGGTTCCACAGCAGGCCATGGAACACGAGTTTTTGCCTTTCACACAGTCATACCCCAACATTGTCTCAAGAAATGCTTCCAGCCAGCCATGCCAGACTTTCCAAAATTGCAAAGTTTTAGACAGAGAATCCCATTTTGCAGCCAGTCAGCCCTTGAAGCCATATTGACTTTGGCAGCCCAGGAAGGCATTCCTGCCAGCGACAAAAGGAAACAAATCAGAGAGTTTGTTGAGCAGGTCATTGCTGGCCTTCAGCTATGATTTTGGAAGAGGACCCTGTGGAATTGGCATTTGCCAACATCTTTAGCTATTTGGCTGGTGCTTATGCAGCTGGTGGCTGCTTTGCGGATTATTTGGACAAGGTACATGACAACAACCCTAGTTCCTTCAACAACCCTTGGTCTTGCATTCTTTATGTAGATGAACTGCACCCTGGAAACCAATTGGCAGGGAATTCTAGGAATACATGGGCAATTTACTGTTCATCTGCCCAGTTTGGGGCCACGCTGTCAAATTCTGAAAGTTGGTTGACATTGCTTGGGGAGAGGAGTAAGCAAGTCTCACAGCTGGCAGCCAGCATTGGCCAATGTTTCAGGTTGATCCTGGAGCACACGTTTGACAACAAATATGCTCATCCTCATTCCGGGGTACTTTTACAGGGAGGTCCTAAAAGACTGAAACTCTCTGTTGGATATTGCAACAGACCAAGAAATCCTGTCCTCGTGGGCAAGGATGCAAGAGAGGAGCACAGCTTGCAACAAAACCGAGTTCAGAAGGTGGAGCCAGGCTTCTGGGGTTGATTATTCCCAGCATTCACTCTTGCTGAGTGACAAGCTGAAGTCCCAGAACCTTCTGAGACCAATCACCCAATACATGCATGATTATATGCATGGGCTCTGCCCAAATGGTGTGCTGAACTGGGTATTTTTTTTTGTGGATCCAACCGCTTGCTTCCAGTGGTGTGGCTGAGATTTGGAAGGCACATGGCTTTGTGCAACTTTGGGCCCAGCCTGCCATTCACAAATGCAATTTGCAAAGGTTATTTCTGCCCAAAGCAGTGGAAGGCCACAAAAAAGCTGGGAAATTCAAATGCTCATCCTCAGAGATTCTGGGTCTGTACCAGGTGCTGGCACACTATGTCCAAATTTGCTGCTTGCCTAATGGCATTTGTCTTCTGGGGCCAACTTGCTCTTTGGCTTGGTGCAAAGTTTTGGATTATTGCCTATCCATCCCTGCTTTGGAAAAGCCTGACCACAAGCAATTGCTTTCATTTGTTGAAGCAGCATTGGAGGCAACTGTTGCAGCTGACTGGTCTGAAGAATTCGAGCCAAAGATGCACTGGTCACTTCATATTATAGTCAAAGTCTCCAGAGGCATGGCCAATTACCTGCATGCTGGACCATGGAAAGGAAGCACAAAGGCATTAGAAAACATGGGAATGTCTTGTGCAACACTACCCATTGGGAAACTTCTTTGATGAAGTCTGTCATTGCAGAGCACATCTGTACATTGGGTGAAGAGTCAAGATTGTTAGAGAAGGCACCTGCCTACAAAATGCAAAGGGGGCCCCACAAAGAAGATGACGGCATTCCTATGCAATGCTGGCGTGGTTCCTGTGGGAATGCCTTGCATGCAGAGCTCTTGTTGTAAACTTTTTTCTGGGGCAACAATTACTTCTGGTGATGTTGTCTGTTTGCACAATGTGGATGGAGGCTCACCAGCTTTCAATGCAGCTCAAGAGCATTGCTTTTTGAAAGTCCCATGTGGTGATGTGGCCCTTGTCGAAAAATATTTGTTCCAGGAAATTTCAAACAAACAAAATGTTTCCAAATGGACAGTGGCGGTGCCCAGAAATCCGGGTCTTGCTTCTTTACAAGAAATCTCGTGTGCTGTCACTTACAATGCTGCCAAAGGCAGGGTGACATGCCTCACCCCTGCATTCTTGCAACTTTGAAGGGACATGCAATTTCCATCCACAGCAAATGTCTTTGGAAAACAAGCTTCGGTGGTATGCACAACAGCCGAAACGTTTTATTTTTACTAATCCTCCAAAAGGCACGGGGGGATTAAAAGGATTAAAAGGATTAAATCATTTAATCCTTTTAATCCTCCAAAGCCTCTGGAGGACTAAAAGGATTAAAAGGATTAAATGCTTGGTCCTCACATTGGGGTTCTGGGGGCTCTGGAGGATTAAAAGGATTAAAGGGATTAAAAGGATTAAATGATTTAATCCTTTCAATCCATTTAATCCCCCAAAGGCTCTGGAAGATTAAAAGGATTAAAAGGATTAAATCATTTAATCCTTTTAATCCGTTTAATCCCCCAAAGGCTCTGGAGGATTAAAAGGATTAAAAGGATTAAATCATTTAATCCTTTTAATCCTTTTAATCCTTTTAATCCCCCAGAGATCTGGAGTCTAAGGCCCAAGCATTGGATTAAATAATTTAATCCTTTTAATCCCCAAAGGCTCTGGAGGATTAAAAGGATTAAAAGGATTAAATGCTTGGTCCTCACATTGGGGTTCTGGGGGCTCTGGAGGATTAAAAGGATTAAAAGGATTAAAAGGATTAAATGATTTAATCCTTTTAATCCTTTTAATCCCCCAAAGGCTCTGGAGGATTAAAAGGATTAAAAGGATTAAATCATTTAATCCTTTTAATCCATTTAATCCCCCAAAGGCTCTGGAGGATTAAAAGGATTAAAAGGATTTAATCCTTTTAATCCTTTTAATCCTTTTAATCCTCCAGAGCCCCCAGAACCACAATGTGAGGACCAAGCATTTAATCCTTTTAATCCTTTTAATCCTCCAGAGGCTTTGGAGGATTAAAAGGATTAAAAGGATTAAAGGGATTAAAAGGATTAAATGATTTAATCCTTTTAATCCTTTTAATCCCCCAAAAGCTCTGGAGGATTAAAAGGATTAAAAGGATTAAATCATTTAACCCTTTTAATCCTTTTAATCCTCCAAAGCCTCTGGAGGATTAAAAGGATTAAAAGGATTAAATGCGTGGTCCTCACATTGGGGTTCTGGGGGCTCTGGAGGATTAAAAGGATTAAAAGGATTAAAGTGATTAAAAGGATTAAATAATTTAATCCTTTTAATCCGTTTAATCACCCAAAAGCTCTGGAGGATTAAAAGGATTAAATCATTTAATCCTTTTAATCCATTTAATCCCCCAAAGGCTCTGGAGGATTAAAAGGATTTAAAGGATTAAATGATTTAATCCTTTTAATCCTTTTAATCCCCCAAAGGCTCTGGAGGATTAAAAGGATTAAAAGGATTAAATCATTTAATCCTTTTAATCCATTTAATCCCCCAAAGGCTCTGGAGGATTAAAAGGATACCTACATACCTACATACCTACATACCTACATACCTACATACCTACATACCTACATACCTACATACCTACATACCTGCATACCTACATACCTACATACCTACATACCTACATACCTACATACATGCATCCATGCATACATGCATACATGCATACATGCATACATGCATACATGCATACATGCATACATGCATACATGCATACATGCATACATTCATACATGCATACATGCATACATGCATACATGCATACATACATGCATACATGCATGCATGCATGCATGCATACATACATACATATATATATTATATTATATATATATACATACACATAAATATATCTCTGTATTTTTTATGCATGTGCGACCACCAACGAATGTCCTGATCGCCATGGCCCCCGAGACCAATGACGAATGGGTCACCGGCGAGGTGCCGGTTATTGGGTACCGGGTCGCGGCCGGTTCAGACATGTTGATCCAATGAAGTGCCCTCTGGTAATTTAACAGTTTGCTTTTGAAAATGGCCCAGTTATAGTTGATTTACCCTATTAGAAGTGGTGATTTTCCATTAACAATTGTGATTTATAGTTGATTTACCCTATTAGAAGTGGTGATTTTCAATACTTATGTTAGTTTACCAGGGTGTAATTACAATTGAAATATGGTTTTTTGAAGTAATATTAGAACTACAGCAATGTGCATTGATATTGACTATAGTAATGTATACGATTAAAATCAAATCTGATTAAATAGATGGGCACTGTATATATAATCTGCAGTAATAGTGGTTACAATGTAGGATCTATATTTTTCTAGATATTATTGATAAGTAATAGCTAATTAGGTGTTATACTGATTTTATGACTGATCAGACCAACCCATTAGAATATGCGTAATCCATTGAATAGATGGGTAACACATGGTAATGCAACTATATTATACTATAGTAATATATCTAATCACAGGGATGGAAAGTCATCATCCAGTTTCTGGTTTCCCTTAAATCATACATGACTACTAAGTTACTAAGCCATTTCGGCTAAAACTTAAGGGGTTCCACATTTTCCCCGTGGACATGTTTCCAAGGTGAGCCTGGAGTTGACTGGAAACCATGTCACATTCATCCAATGCGGCTTTATTTTACCAATTTCTTTTGTTTTTTCAATCATACACAAGATAGTCTGGTTGGTGGTTTCAAACATGTTTATTTTCTATGTCATATATGGGATAATCCTTCCCATTGACGAACTCATATTTTTCAAGATGGTTAAAACCACCAACTAGTAGTGTTTGAAGGCAAACTTTGGATCACCCGATGCCATTGCCGTCAGCACAGAGGCTCAAAACAGATCCCGGATTCACCCGTTGCCGCCGTCCCACTGCGTTGCAGCGGATTCGTCCTACCGTCCCCGTCGTTATGGACAGCTCTCCCTTGGAACAGGAAGTCAATGTGGTGAACACTTTCTTGCAGGCCTTTTTTGACAGGGTAAGATGACTTTGAGCCACCCCTACTAATTATCAGTTGATGATTATTGCATTATATACTTATAGAGAATTCTGTGATTCTGCCTATATATGCACATACAGATGGATTTATATATAGACTTCAGAAACATAAAATGTTGATTTGACTTTGACCCTGGGGATATCAAAAGGCTTTGGTGCTCCGCAGGCTTGATCTCAGTAGGTTCATCCCCGTCCAGCTGTCCGCCCAGTCATGGGATGTGACGATTGTGGTATTTCCACTAGAAGCAGAAGCCTAGCACAGTATATACTGTATTAGAATATAAATATATATATATACATACATACACAATATGACAACATGTGTACACATTACGTGTATGTGTATAATGTGAATGATAGATACATGTACAACAGGTCAAAAGGTTCACAAAATCTTGTATCTCGATGCGCCCAGGTGACAGAGGTGAGCAAGGCCAAGGCCTACCGACGCTCGCAGACGGCCCCGGTGCGCGACGTGCTCGAAGTCCCCCAGGAGGGACTTGCCAGGGATTTCGCGATTTAGCCTCTGGTAAACATACAAAAAGCTATTGAACATGGCCCATAGAAATAGTGGATTTTACCATTAAAATTGGTGATTTTCCAGTTCGCAAACTGTTAGTTTACCAGAGGGTACCACCGGAAAAAATGGAGAGATTTCACCAGAAGGCGGGAAATCCACATGAATTCATCAAGAACAATGATGGAACACCATGGTGGATCTAGGGAAAAATCAACATGTTTTTCGCCAAACATGGGGGTTTAACATGGTTAACGGAACTTAACTAGGAACACTTGTGATTTCATGGGGGATGTAACTTGGTGATTTTTCATGGGATAGAAGCAAGAACCTACCATTTTATGGTAGTTCACCCATTTTTGTTGGATTTACCATCTTTCATCATGAAACATGGTGGATTCATCAGGACCAGGAAAGGTTGATACAATGGGGATAGAACCCAGCTTTCCTAGGACAAATGGGGTAGATTTACCACACAAAACCCATGGACCTATGGATTCAGGGACATTCTTTGGGCTTTTTCTGGGGACTAATGATTTTCTTTGTACCATCAAAACCTTGTGGATGTATAAGACATCGGGATTTATTGGGCTGTTTATGAACATATCATTTTTATAGCACCAAACCAGCCATTGGGAATGGCATGATTTACCATCACAACATGGGAAATAATTGGGATACAATCGGGATTGTCGGGGGGATTGCTTGGGAAAAAATTGGGAATTCACCTAATTATTTAGCAATGGGGATGCACCTGTGATTTACCATGTAAAATGTGGAGTCAAAAATTGGGAAGATACCGAGGATATAATAGGGGATATAGGCCATATAGGGGTAATATGGTATACATAGTGGAATTGTGGATTTGTTTGATTTTTTGGTGACAACTGCCAAAGTTGATGGTTTATCAGCATTTGTTCGTATCCAAATTGCCACATAATGTTTTCATGATTACACCAGCCAAGAAAGGCTGGGCTTGTCAACTATTTGCACGGTGTTGAAATTGGAATTTGACTAATTACCAAAATTGATTGGGATTGGAGATGAAAACCAATCGAGATGAACATATGCTTACCGACAAATCCACAGTTGTTGGTCATGCAATGTCATGCATACCATCATTGCTGTTGCTTCAAAAACTTCTGCAAATGACCTTCTTTACGCTGTTGTTGCTTACAACCTCCTCATTTTGCTACATGGGTTTGTTCATGTTTGTTCAAAAACGGTGCCCAAAAACGCGAACTAAAGAACCGTGAAAATGAGGCGGCCCGAAACCGCTGGATTCATAAATACCTTGTCGTTTTGTTGTTTGGAGAAAACCCATGTGATCAGCACTTGCAGTATCACTTCGTTAAAAAACAAACTGTTTCTTCATTCGCATCGTAGTGTTCTGGTCCTCCATCACCGCAGGATGTGGACGAAGACGACGAAGATGAAGACGAAGAGGAAGAAAGCACTGCAGGTGTTGGATGGTCAAAAGTTCGCAGCAGTTAGATGAAGATCTCAAAATAAATTGAAGACGATTGGTGTAAGATGAAGGACAACAAACAAGGTCCAAGGGTTGAAGAAAAACCCTAAACCACGCTTGGACCTGGAGAGCCAGAAACCGTTCAAGAAGAACTTTGCAACTTATCTTTTTGAGTTCCTCAAAGCCCAGCAATTTTACACAGGTTACTCGGGTACCCATGGGTGGCAAAGCAGTGCAAATGGGTCAACTTGAGGACCTAAAGAATTGGATTCTTACCCTCTGGTAAACATACAAAAAGCTATAGAAAATCCCCATCTTTAATAGGTAAATCAACCATAAATCACCATTTTCAACAGCTATTTTAGTCTACCAAAACGTACTTGTGGCTCAGGGAATTTTTAAGTCTGACCCACGTCCAGCAGTCATCAATGGAAAGCAAAACAATACGTTCTGGTTCCCTGAACTTGGGCAGGTTTCTTAATATACCTTCTGGGACCTTCTGGTGATTTCACATGGCGGACAAATGGTACTTTGATGATGTTCCAATTTAAACAAATATCAGGTTTATAGGTGTTCCCGTTCAAACCATTCAAACCTCCATATAGTTCAGTTATGTTTCCCATATGTTCCCAATTTTATATATTTGATGTTTCCATAGTTTCCCCTATTTTTATGTTTTGTAGTTGACTTGGAAGATATGTTTTCACATGTTCCCATTTTCCATGTTAAGTTTACAGTAGTTTCCCCTATGTTTATGTTTTGTAGCTGACTTGGAAGATATGTTTTCCCATGTGTTCCCATTTTCCATGTTAAGTTACCATTTTACTTTCCCACGGTCCTGCAGGCGTGACGGAGAAGACCGAGAAGGAGGCCCTGCGGCGGAAAAAAGTCATAAAAAGTCGACTTCCAAATATGGGGAAGTTTGATGAAGTTTGACCAACCAAAATGCTGGCATGGTGGTTTTGTTAAAATTCATGTTGACTGGATTTGAATGGACTATGGAGAGAAATATGGGAGGTCGCAGTGTCGCTAATATTTTCTGGAGAAGGTCGGGATCTAAACAAGAAAAACGCATGAAAAAAACACCAAGAATTTATGGTGGTATATCATGGGATTTTATGGGGATATCATAGGGGATATTCTGGATACATTTGATCGCGTCACGAAGACATGATTAATATATAGGGCTAATCATCGAGCTTTTCAGCTTAGTGAATCATATTTATCCAGACAGATGGAACAAACCACAGGTTGGTGCCCCAGTTCGTTAGCTAAGTTGGTTTATAAGTTCAATAACTATGGTTTATAGGTTATATCTACAATTCATGGGATTATAACCCATTTTAATAACTGGGGGACACGAAGCCTTCGAGGGAAGAACCATGGATTTTCTTACTGATATGATCTACAAATGGTGCAAGTAGATTAGTTCACCCCGGTTTTAGGTGGGCCAACCAGACTTATCCAACTTATAACCAGGCATATATGGATGAACCATGATGAACCCATTTACTAAGTAGGACGAACCACAAAGCGATAGGGTAAATCTTCGCCGACCTCTCGGCAGTATCTCCCATTGCCGTGGGAGGATTGGTATCTCTTCAGAGTTGGAACCTGATGCACAGGATGTCACTCTGGATCCATTGGTCCATCGACTGAAAATCAATGGACGTCGTATTCTGTCAAAAGGTTTGGTTCCTTCAAGTACCATGTTCACCCAGGATGGTGTGCCCCGCAGTGATGTTTGTTGAATTATAAACCCCATAAACGCATCCATGATATAATATAGATATCTACCATAAACCATAGAATTCAGCCACTTATAAGGCAACTGCACGCTATCTTGGGCGCCCCATCCTGCACATGCTTGGATTTGGTGACTTGTTTCGGGGCTTCGTTTGAAACACAGACCCTGCGATGTAAATCCAGGTGATCGAGG